CATCCATCATCCATCCATCATCCATCCATCATCCATCCATCCATCCATCCATCATCCATCATCCATCATCCATCATCCATCCATCCATCATCCATCCATCCATCCATCCATCCATCATCCATCCATCATCCATCCATCCATCCATCCATCCATCATCCATCATCCATCCATCCATCCATCATCCATCATCCATCCATCATCCATCCATCCATCCATCATCCATCATCCATCCATCATCCATCCATCATCCATCCATCCATCCATCCATCATCCATCATCCATCATCCATCCATCATCCATCCATCATCCATCCATCCATCATCCATCCATCCATCATCCATCCATCCATCCATCCATCATCCATCCATCATCCATCCATCATCCATCCATCCATCCATCATCCATCCATCCATCATCCATCCATCCATCATCCATCCATCCATCCATCATCCATCCATCCATCATCCATCCATCATCCATCCATCCATCCCTCATCCATCCATCCATCCATCCATCATCCATCCATCCATCCATCATCCATCCATCCATCATCCATCCATCATCCATCATCTATCCCATCCCCACTCCCCAGCCAATTAACAGGGTGGTTAATTAGCGCCTGAGGAGCTGCCTGACCTGCTGGACAGGGCTGACCATGTCGGGTGTCTCCTTGCCCCAGTAGCACTTCACCACGTGGCCCTCGATGGTGGTGCCGTTGACGGAGACGATGGCGTGGGCAGCGCTCTCGTGGGAATTGAACCTGTCGGGATGAAATCGGGAATATTTCTTGGGAATGACTCCGTGCTGTGATTCTCCCTAAATAAATTGGGGAACTCGGCAAGGAGAGCAGTCAATTTATTGATTTTTTTAAACTATTTTATTTTTTAATTGGTTGGTTTGTGATGATTTTCTTACTAAATGGGAAAGATTTGGGTTTCGTTAATTTTTAATTTTTTACCATTCAATTTTTAACGTTAATTCGTTAATTTTTGACTTTTTAAAAATTTTTTTTATTGATTTTTTTAAACTGATTTGTTCATTAAATGGGAAAGATTAGACAATTTATTAATTTTTAAACTTTTAAAATTGGTTTTTAATTAATTCTTTTACTAAATGGGAAAGGTGGAAGTCATCATTCATTGCAAGGAAATGAAGGGATCTTCCCATTAACTGGAGAAGGAAATGAAGGGATCTTCCCATATGAAAAGAGCTCTGTTCCAAGTGGAACTAAATTTCTGGGATTTTCCTTACTTTTTATGGCCATGATCCCTCCTCAGAGCAGAGGGAGCAGAAATCCTCTGATCTCTCTAATCTGGGAGGGTTCAGTGACTCCTCTGGGCTGACAAAGGTCCCACATGACCAAGGGCCCTGTTCCAAGTGGTTTTTTGGGATTTTTCCCATTTTATTACAGCCATGATCCCTCCTCAGAGAGGGAAATCCCTCCTCAGAGGCAGGAAAACTCCTCTGACTTAGGATGGTTTAGTGACTCCTCTGGTGATGTGTGACCAAGGGCCCTGTTCCAAGAGACTTCTGTGATTTTCCCCATTTTTTACAATCCCTCCTCAGGGCAGAGGAAGGAAAACCCCTCTAACTGGGATGGTTTAGTGACAGTGGTGACTGAAGTCCTGAAGGACAAAGGGCCCTGTTCCAAGGGATTTCAGGGATTTTCCCCATTTTTTACAATCCCTCCTCAGAGCAGAGGCAGGAAAACCCCTCTGACCTGGGAGGGTTTAGTGACTCCTCTGGTGATGTGTGACCAAGGGCCCTGCTCCAGGTTTAGTGACTCCTCTGGTGATGTGTGACCAAGGGCCCTGCTCCAAGTGATTTCAGAGATTTTCCCCATTTTTTACAACCCCTCCTCAGGGCAGAGGAAGGAAAACCCTTCTAACCTGGGATGGTTTAGTGACTGCGGTGACTGAAGTTCTGAAGGACAGAGGGCCCTGTTCCAAGAGATTTCTGGGATTTTCCCCGTTTTTTACAATCCCTCCTCAGGGCAGAGGAAGGAAAAACTCCTCTGACTTAAGATGGTTTAGTGACTCCTCTGTGGTGATGTGTGACCAAGGGCCCTGCTCCAAGAGATTTCTGTGATTTTCCCCATTTTTTACAATCCCTCCTCAGAGCAGAGGCAGGAAAACCCCTCTAACTGGGATGGTTTAGTGACAGGGGTGACTGAAGTCCTGAAGGACAAAGGGCCCTGCTCCAAGGGATTTCAGGGATTTTCCCCATTTTTTACAACCCCTCCTCAGAGCAGAGGCAGGAAAACCCCTCTAACCTGCGACACCCCCAGCCCCAAGCCCACTCCCACCTGACGAAGGAGTATCCTTTATCCGGGAACACTCGGATCTCCATGATCTGCCCGAAGGGGGAGAAGGTCTGGCGCATCAGCTGCTCTGGAGCAGGAAGGACAGAGAGCAGCGTAAGGCAGCCGTGGGGACAAGGGGACAGCTGCCACGGGCTGGGGCCACACGTACCTGTGAGGCCCGAGGTGACCCCCCCGCAGTACACGGTGCAGTTGCTGGGGCTGGACTGAGTCACCACCTCGTCGTAGGACAATTGTTTGGTGGTTGCTGGAAGAGATTGGGTGGGATTTTCAAGGGGTGGGATGGGAATTGGGGGGAATTTTAGCCCTGACTGGCACAGGATGGTGGGAACAACCTGCAGATCTTTCCTGGGACACCTCAGAGCCCTTTCCAGGGACTGAA